CCCCCCCCCCCCCCCCCCCCCCCCCCCCCCCCCCCCCATTTTTAGGATCGAGGAAATCAAGTTACAATCTCTAGAATAGGAAACATAGAGATATCTTGAAGATATCTAATAGGAGCAATAATTGGTCGCGGTTCCGAAAGCAATACAGTAATGTGGACACTTATTTGAAATCTCCCTCTGTATCTGCGATACTTTTCTGTGAAAGAACTATGATAGTTTGCCTCTGCCCAAATTAGCCTTTGCGGTGTCGATGGTTATTCTCAACGTATACGAAGACATGATCCCACTGCTAACCTTCACCCTGTGGTTTTGGGCCGAGATTAGACTTTTGAAAGAGGTTTTTCTTGGTAACAAAAAGGAAACATCGCTAAACGTTTAATGATACTCGGTAAACATGTAAAAGCTTTTTACTGGTAGATGCAAGAATTATGACTACAATCCGGGCCGCCATGCATAACTGAAACACTGTAGAAAGCTCAACAATACGACCGTCATTGATAGCATGACTGGCACAAGCCATATCGCACCTCTATCACGACAAAAAAAGAAGCACAGCAGTAAAACAATGAATTTGGAAAGAAATATTGAATAGTAAAAGACTAAACTTTGGGGAAAGTGAATTAATGGAGGGTAGGAAGAGATGGAGCACACTGTTCACTTAGTGACTGCAAATTTTCTTCAGTTGAACACACTTTCGCATGTTTTCAAATGTGAAAACTTCCAGTAAAACGAACTCAAATAATACTGTCCGCATTTGGACATTGCAGCAAGTCTTATTTTAGTTCAATACTTGAACTTGAAAAATGCAGCCGCAACATACCTGAATAAAGGCAAAATTGGGGTTCCAAAGTAATGATCCGTAACCAAAAATCCACATGACAAAAAAATTGCAACTAGCTGTCTGTAAAAGCAGTCTGTAAGAATTGTCAAAATAAGTTTGAAAACGTTGTGATCAACTCATGCTCTAATCTCAAATAAGATAGGAAAGAATCCACTAAGCAGATTTTTTCCACAAATCCACAAAAATAGATATTTATTAATGCTATGTAAACTTTTCAAAATTGAAAACGGGGCAACTTGGTTCGTAATGCCAGTAGCTAACAAAGGTTAAATAGGAACGAACAATGCAGTGATCCTTAACGGAGGCATCTGAAGTATGCTGTACAGACCAAAAATACTTCCGCATTTATCATTACCGTGCACTAATATCACAAAATTGTAAAAAAAAAACGCGACTACACAACGTCCGGCGCAGGATCATCGTCACATTTGGTATAAACTGCAAATCTATTCCTTACTACCGTTGCAATTATGGTAGCAATCATGGTTGTAGTCGCCATGGCACCAATTCCTGTGTCACCACACATCAACTCCTTTTCCATTGGAGGGATTTCCTGAAAAGAAATTTCGCACACGATAGACACTAGAAAGGAGACGATAATGGGATTTTCCCTCTATCAGTGCTTTTATAATGAAACACAAAGAACGCTCAACGCTTGAGAGTGCCAAGAGCAGCAAAAGAAGTCTGACAACTTCCAATTTCAGTGGAATGACTACAAAGTTAAATCGGGGAGTAATCCTACTCCTTTCAGAAGCATACAAAAATGGTCTGCCTAACAAATGAGGCATAAAGATTAGATACCAACGCTTAGAAATTTGGAGCAAAACCCAACGAACCTTGTATTGTAAAAGGTCTTTCAATGTATTCCTGTGTTGAAAGGTAAGCGGATTTTCCCACATCATAGTATTCATAGCCGGAGCAAAGTATAGCGGCTTTCGAGGATCCCACGCCCGTACCTATAAAATTCAAAGGTCAATGGAGATATTCACCATAGCTCCATAGCTCAGCAACATATAGGAGATATTTCAGATTTTCGCAAATACAACTTTGTCGCTTACTTTCTTATCAATCACAAGACAAATTTGAAATGAAGCAAAAGAGCACATACTATGGAAGTGACCAAATTATCATTGAGTCCCATAGCAATTTTCGCAAGACTGTTGGCGTCCAAAGGTGCAAGCAGCATAGCATCTGCCCATTTCCGCAACTCTAAATATTAAACATAACATCAGATTTAATAAAACTAGACTTCTTCATGAGCCATACCAATATGAAGCACCAAGTCTCCTCGACCTCTCCACATAGACCATTCGTCCCTGTCTTCGTAAATAACTTCGTCTATATCAAAGTCTTGGGTCTCGATAAGGCTCAAGGCTGACTGAGTGGCGGCCACCTGAGAATGTTTGCATTATCAAAGGTAATTTTTTTCGATATGGATGAGCCTTTATGACAAACCTTTATGACAAGTTTATTTTCAGGACAGCTATGATATAATTTTTGGATCAACTCCTCAAGCTTTATGACTGCTACACTTCCAGTGACCCCGATGAGAAGATGGAATTTACCGCCGCACCTCTGAATCTTGTGCGACCTGGTGAACGGAGGGCGCCGGTCTGAGTCCTAAACAATCAAACAAAAGTGCAAAAGAGGAACAGATGCTTTCAATTGCTTTTCGTTGAAAT